TGGTGCCTCACAGCGGCCTCGATGCCTTCGCGTGGGCCTCCCTGCTGCGGCTGCTTGCTGCTGCATCTGGGGGCCCCCCAGAGGACTCTGGGGGCCAAGGGGGCCCCCTGCCCTCCCCTGCTGGGGGCCCCCCCCCCTTGGGGGGCCCCCTGGGGGCCCCCAAGGGGGCCCCCCTGGGGGCCCCCAAGGGGGCCCCACTGACTGAGTACGAAGTGGGGGTCTTAGAAGAAGCTAATCGCCGATTTCGAAATCTTACAGAAGAGTGGGGAGAAGAGGGGGTCTTCACTGCAGCAGCAAAGTCCATAAACTTGGGTCTTTACAGACTCAGCAGCAAAGAATATGAAGAGCTGCTGGCAGCAGAAGCAGCAGCAGCAGCAGCAGCAGCAGCAGCAGCAGAAGCACCAGAAGCAGCAGCAGCAGCGGGAGAGAAGCAGCAAAAGGTTGCTGCAGCCATCGGGATGCCCCCGTGGGGCTTTCTGACCTTGAGGGCCCCCAGGTACCCTGCGGGGGGCCCCCCAGGCCCCCAAGGGGGGCCCCCTTCTAAGGGGGGCCCCCCTAGCAGCAGCAGCAGCAGCAGGGAACTTCTGTTCCCCTGGGATGACCCAGAGGAAGCTGCTGCAGTAAAGGGGGCCTGGATATCTCAGTTGCGTTTCTATTTGGGTTTGCCTCCGTCTCCCGTTTTGGGGGACCCTCGTGCTGCTGCTGCTGCTGCTGCTGCTGCTGCTGACGGCTGCAGCGCAGCAGCAGCCAGCAGCCTTTGTGGGAAGGACTGCCAAAGCCACAGGTGCTCGTGGCAGCTGGAGAAGGGGCCCCCGGGGCCCCATGACCACTTGGTGGACGAGCTGCTCACAGCAGCAGCAGCAGCAGCAGCAGCAGCAGCAGCAGCAGCAGGCAAGGAGCCCAGAGGGACTCTGGAAGGCTTTGCACTGAGCCCGGAAGCGGCGCTGCTGGTGGCAGCAGACAGCAGCGGCTTCGCGGGGCGGAAAGTTGCGGTGTACGTACACCCCAGCAGCCGGGGGCTGAGCGAGTGGGAACTGGACGCAGCAGCAGCAGACATTTATTTTTCTTTGATAACTCAAGCTGCTGCCAACATGAGGATTCTCCGCAGCATCATTTTGGAAGGGCCAGAAGTGCGTGTGGCTGCGCACATTGGGCGCGGCATGCAAGTGAGCAAACTCTTCTTTTTTGTCTTCTCCACTTCAGAGCTGCTGCTGCTGCTGCTGCTGCTGCTGCTGCTGCTGCAGCCGAGGGTTTAGGGTTTGGGGCGGGTTTGTGCTTCGCAGAAAGTGCTGCAGCAGATCGAGTGCAGCGTGCAGGCGCTGCGGCTGCGGCGTTGTGCTGCGCTGCCACCAGCAGCCCTCGAGCTGCTGCGACAGCAGCAGCAGCAGCAGCAGCAGCAGCAGCAGCAGCAGCGGGGAGCTGCTGCTTGTCCGGCACAAGGCGGAGACAATTGCATTTCTGGCGAAGGGGAAAGCGACGAAGAACTGGACGAAAATGGGGTGTACAGACAGCTCGCGCTGCTGCTGGCGCGCGCAGCACTCAGAGATTCCAAAGAGGTGCACTGAGAGAAATGCCAAAAGGCTTCATTTTCAATGTTTTCTGTTTTTGTTTTTTGCCACTTTTCTACTTTTTAATGAACTTTACATGCGTTGTTTATCGCCAGCTGCTTTGGTCTTCTTTTCCTGCACTTGCGGGTTTCCAGTCAGCCCATTTCACCTTTCGTGGATGTCTTAGTCTTCTAGTTGCATTGCACTGCTTCCCTAATCATTTGCCTCTACCCTTCCTTGTAATTATATTCATGAATGTGAATTTAATTATAAAATATATGTTTTATCATTCTTGAGAAGTTGAAAAAGTAGTTCAAATGAGTTGGGGAGTGCACGAGCTGTTTCTGCTTCCCAGGCACATTTGGTCTTTGCTGCATTTCCTTTTCTTGTTGCCTTTTGTGTTGATCAGCAACTTGTATTATGAAATAGATCTAATCCATTAAATGAAAACATGAATTGTTTTTTGATTATTATTTTCAATGAGAAACTTTAGGATTAAAGATGAGAATTCGGCTTTTTGGGAGTTTCGTGTTTTTCCAGCTATTCTGTGTTCGCAGCATTCGCCTTGCGCCTCTTTTGCTGCTTTCAGACCTTATTTGCTGCCTTGTCTTTTATTTTGATTTATTTTTTGTTTATTTTTGTTTATTTTTGTTTATTTTTATTCTTTTTGCAGCTTTTGGCTGACGGAAGCCTGGAGCCTGCGCCTTATTTCTCGCTGCACTTCGACTTGGCCATTCACGTGCCTTTGCTGCTGCCGTTTTTGCTGCCGACTGTCGCGTCAGTGATCCGCGCTGCGAAGTTCGCCGCCAAGATCTGAATTGCAAAGTTGAATTGCAACATTTGATCTGAATTGCAAAATTAAATTGCAAAATTTTGCATTTTGGATCTTTTGCAACAATTAAATGGTCCTTTTGCTCGTTTCTGTCGCCAAAAAATGGCCTCCGTTTATTCAAGTTCGGGTTCTCTTGACTCTGTGCTCTCTGCGCTTTCGGGCGCGTGGGAAGTAATTCAAGTTGAATGACAAGTCCATTTACGGACTTGTGCAGTTTATTTCGCATTTCTCGACACCAAAACATCTATAAACATGTGCCTCTTGAAAAGTACTTGAAAAATATCCCAATTACTCAAAGTGCTCTTCATAAATGCAAACTTTCGTTCTTGCATTCAAGGGAAACTGGCTGCAACTAATATGCTGAACGCGCATTTGAGCAAATGAGCATATATTCATGTATCAAATATGTAAAGATCTGAATATAATATATAAATAAAGATCTGAATATAATATATACATAAATATGTATGCATGCACCTGCACATATGCATATATATATGTATAAATGTGTACTTCTGTACATATGTATAATATGCATATATGTACAGGTGTATATATATGTACAAGTTATGATACATTTTGGCTGTCTTTTGCGGGCATTGAGTTTATTTTTAGTCGAGAAGATCTTGTTTTGTGTCTCGAGAGTTTCTGTTTGCATGTGGCTTCTGCGAAGTGTCCTGTTGGCTTTGAATTGAAGTCAGTGGCAACAAATGAACAAACAAGTGATGATCTAGTCGGGTTCTCAGCTCCTTTTTAAGTGTTTTCATGTTCTCTTTCTTTCTTTTTGGCTTTCAACTCTTCCGCGAACTTCCGAAAACCCAATTTTTGAACTTTTCTCAACTGACGCCGGTTGAACTGAATTCAACTCTCGGCTAGACTCGAGACGGGCGCGTCTGGGTGCGGGGGCTGCGGAAAACTCTTTTATTCTGGCTTAAAAGGTCAAATTATTTTTTTAATGAATAAAACTGAAGTAGATTTGTTGTTATTTGCTTATTTTTGCGTATCCACCCTCCGTCTCGCGCCGGCCTAACAATCGACGTGAGTCCGGGGCGCCGGGAGGGCTCCTGGGGTCTTTGGAGGAATTAAATGAACCTTTAACTGCATCTCTGGCATCAAACCGAATTATTCCACGAATTATGCAAAACAAAAGGAAGAAATGCAGCTCTTTCGACAGAAATCGCGGCAGTGGCAAGCGAGTATCGCTTGTCAGCTGGCTCGGATCTAGCCGCACTTGGAGGCGCGGAAGGGCCGAAAACGCCGGAAGACTTTCAAATGACTCCGCCTTTCTAGTTTTAATTCATTGGAGGATCTAAATGGGAGGGTTTTTCTGCTAATTGCGCAAGCAGGCCGTGCATGGGCGGTCTGTTGCAGGATTTTGCTGTGGGGTGGCCACGGGGGGAACGCCTGGCCGCTGTCTGGGTCTAAAGACGCATTTTTTCGCGCCTTTTCGACATAAAAAAAGATACGTCGAAATTCCCCCCGAAATAAAGGCGGTAGTGCAATATAAAATGTCTTTTCGGTGGAGATTAGTGCAGTTCGGTGTGGGAAACGGGGGCCGGTTAGGCAAAGGGTGCGGGGCTCTCTGCCTGGCGCCACATCCGGCTCCCCTGGAAAGCGCGGTCTTCTGCTCGGTTTGCGTCGAATTAAATGATGTCTACGGATTTGTTTTGATTTTTAAGGCATTCGGCGCGCGAAAGGAAGCAGTAAGCTGCCGGGGAAGCTCGCTGCTGCTTCCTTTTGCACAGTTTCGCGGCGGAGAGCCGCGGCGCGGAAAAGGCAGGCGTCGCGGACTTGAAAAGCTTCCGATCTTGTGAATTTTTAGCATTTGGAGTTCTTTTTGGAAGTTTTGGAGGCGCAATTGGCGCTTTTGGCGCGTTTAGAGTTGCGGAATCCTGGCTTTGCATTTGTCTCGGCGGCGGTTTCGGGGGGTTTGCAGTTGGCCGCGCGGCGGAAAGCGCCGCGATTGTGGACGGATTTTGGGGTTTTTGAATTTCTTTTGCAGCTTTTTGAAGATGGGGGAGGAGAAGGAGACTTGCGGGCGGCTGAAGGGGCTGAAGCTGCACGTTCCGCTGAACCGGTACCTGCTGCTGTTCCTGTACCTGGTGGTGGTGCTGCTGCGCGGCTGCACTTACTGGGGCTGGAACGGCATTCAAGAAATGCTGTACAAGTCCGGCGCGTATTTATGGGAGTGCAGCGACTTGGAAAGCGCGACGGAGCTGCGGATCGGCAGCGCCAAGTACCTCGACTGCCCGGCCCGCAAGCAGCTGCTGGGTGGGATCTTCACCACTGCGCTGGGCTCCAACATGCTTTCTTCTTTCTTTGCGGGAATTATGTTAGATGCTGTGGGGCCGAAGATCACAATGTTGTTTGGAGTGGTGATGGACATCGCTGGGTGGCTGCTGCTGGGCTTTTCCGGCGAGGGTTTCCGGGCTTACTACGCGGCGGCTTTCTGCATCGGAGTGGCCTCTGACCCCGGCTACTTGCCGCTGATCTCCATCAGCAAGTTGTTTCCCAAAAACTCCTCTTTTGTGATCTCCATTATGGGCTCCGTGAGGTCCATTTCCTTCGCAATTCCCGTCGTTATGTCTGCCGTTTTCCAGAGCCCCGCCTTCCGCCCTGAAGACCTCTGGCAGATCTGCGTGGGCTACGTGGGCGTGGGCCAGGGGCTGTCTTTGCTGGTGACTTTGCTGTTTGTGCCGATGGCTTCTTTCAAGGCCCCTGCTGCTGCAGCAGCAGCAGCAGCAGCAGCGGAGCAGCAGCAGCAGCAGCAGGAGGAGCTGCGGGACGCGTCGAAGGAGGACGGGTCGGTGTCGACTGCAGCAGCAGCAGCAGCAGCAGCAGCAGCGCGGCAGCAAGACAACAGGTCGTTTTGGCAGCTGCTGGTGGACCCCAAGTTCCTGCTGCTGCTGCCGATCTTCTGCTGCGCGCTGGTGCGCTCGGACTACTACGCGAAGTCGAACAAAGAACAACTTATTACTTCTTCTGGCAAAGATCTTTACCAAATGTTTGCAATTTTCAACATTTTGAGTTTTATTCCGGGCCCCGTCTTCGGCCGACTGGTGGATCTGTACGGGATCACGGTGGTGCTGCTGCTGCTGAACACTTCGGGTGTATGCATGTTCCTGTTCCTGATCTTCGACAGTCTGGCCTGCAAAGGCGTGTCAGTGGTATTCTTTTTCATTTATACTTCTTTTGTGCTCAGTAATGTTTATTGTTTCATTTCAATTCACTTTCCGGAACACGCTTTCGGCAAACTCGCCGGATTCACCTCTGCTGCTGGCGGCGTCTTCGTGCTGCTCAGCATGTTGTGGTACAACAAAGTCTTGGAGTTCGAAGCGCCTCGGAGTTTCATTTTCGTGGACGCTTTGATGGTTGCTGCTGGTCTTTTGGTGTACCTGTTGATCTTTTTGCTGCGCCGCGTCAGCAGCAAACAAGCAGCAGCAGCAGCAGCAGCAGCAGCAGCAGCAGCAGCCAAGGTCAGGGAGCAAAAGACCTTCGCCGACTCCAACGAGCCGGGGTCCACCCTCTCCGTCTGAACCGCTGCTGCTGCTGCTGCGCTGCACTGCAGCAGCTGCAGCAGCTGCAGCAGCAGCAGCAGCAGCAGCGGCGGCGGCTCGCAAGAGCGGGCAGCGCGGGACGCGCAGGTGTACGTACACCGCAGCTTTAGTCCTTTCATTTAGTTCTCGCAAGTAGCGCTCTTCGTTCAGAGGCGGGGGAAGCAGCAGCTGCCTTTTCAATTGCTGCTGCTGCTGCTGCAGCAGCAGCAGCTGCTGCTGCTGCTGCTGCTGCAGCGCCAGTTGCTTGTTGCACTGTGGAAGCCGCTCATGTGGAGGCTGTGCAGGGGGCCTTAGGAGCTCCCAACTCATTTTGAATTGTCTGCTGTTGCTGCTGCAACGTGCTGCTGCCGCAGTTTGCTGCTGCAGTTTGCTGCTGCAGTGTGCTGCTGCTGCTCGCTGCTGCTGCAGCAGCTGCAGCAAGCGCATGCAGCGCCCAGCCGGCTCTTCGTGTGCGCAGCTCGAAGGCACTCAACTGCAGACGCCTACAAAAGATGCACTGTTGGCTCCGAGGGTTTAGGGTTTAGGGTTTAGCGGCGAGGGTTTACTTCGCCTAGGGTTTGGGGCGAGGGTTTAGGGTTTAGCGGCGAGGGTTTAGTTCGCCTAGGGTTTGGGGCGAGGGTTTGGGGGTTTAGAGGCTAGCGCCGAGGGCTGGGGAGTTCAAGCTGTACTGGCGAGGGTTTAGAGGGTTTAGGGTTTAGAGGGTTTAGAGGGTTTAGGGTTTAGAGGGTTTAGGGTTTAGAGGGTTTCGGGGGGTTAGGGTTTACTGGCGAGAGTTTTGGGGGCCCGAAAACCTAAACCCTAAACCCCAGACCCCAGGATCTGCAGGCTGGGGTTTAGGGTTTAGGGTTAGAGGGAGAAATGACAAAAAGAAAGTAAAAATAAGAAAATAAAAAGTGGAAATAAATAAAAAGAAACAAAAAATGCAAAAAAGAACAAAAGTAATAAATAGAAGAAAAATGCGAAAAAATGAAAAGTTGCAAATTCGGTGGGGTGTACGTACACCTGAACATTGGGGTGTACGCGTGGATGAACCGCTTTTGCAAAAAGTGGAAAAGAGTTTCATTTCAAAGGCCAGTTTTGGAATTAAATGAAATAATTGGGATTTATTTAATTGAATTAAATAAAGAAAGTCTTATTTGCTGCTGCTGCTGCTGCTGTGGGTGCTGCAGCAGCAGCAAAGAAACACAAAAGCTTTGAAACCCCATGAGTTGTTTTCGAACACTTTCTGCTGCTGCGCTGCTCTGCATGCTTTCTCACTTCTATATTTGGGGCTTAGGAGAACTGCTGCTGCTGCTGCTGCTGCTGCTGCTGCTGCTGCTGCTGCTCCGGTGAGGTAAATGGCCAGCTGCTGCTGCTGCTGCTGCTGCTCTTGCTGGCGCGGATACGCAGCGGCAAGAGGCGCTGCTGCTGCTTCTCGTGCTGCAGCAAAAGGTGCTGCGGCTGCCACGGCTTTCGCTGCTGCGGTAGCAGGCTAGCCTGCTGCAGCAGCAGCAGCAGCAGGCTTCCCTAGTTTGCTGCTGCAGCAGCAAACTAGGCAAGAGAAAGCAGCAAGGGGGACAGATCCTGGCTCGTTTGGCTGCTGCATGCGTCGCTGAGCAGCAGCTCGTTGCTGCCAGCAGACGCAGCAGCAAGGCCTTCCATATGCTGCTGCTGCTGCTGCTGCTGCTGCTGCTGTGGATGCTGCAGCAGCAGCAAGGGTTCGCTGCTGCTACGGCTTAAAGTGGCGCAGCTGCTGCCTTCTAGGTGGAAGGCCGCCCGCTGCTGCTGCTGCTGCGGCTGTTCAAGTTGTTGTTGCTGCTGCTGCTGCTCTTCTGGTTGCTGCTGCTGTGTTACTTTTTGATGTTGCTGCTGTTCTTGTTGCTGCTGTTCTTGCTGCTGTTGCCGCTGCTCTTGCTGCTGCTGCTGTTCTTCCTGCTGCAGCTGTTGCTGCTGTTCTTCCTGCTGCTGCTGTTGTTCTTGCTGCTGCTGCTGCAGTTCTTGCTCTTGCTGCTGCTGTTCTTCCTGCTGTGGCTTTTCTTTGCGCTCCAGTTCCTTTTGCTGCTGCAGCTGCTCCTCTTGTTCCTTGTGCTGCTGCTGCTGCTGCTGCTGCTGCTGCTGCTGCTGCTGCTGCTGCTGTAGCTGCTGCTGCAGCTTGTCCTTGCATGCATTCCGTGTCTCTTCACGTGCTGCGCAACTATTATTCGTTTTGCTGCTCGGCCTTAGGCTGCACTTTTTCTTGCTGCTGCTGCTGCTGCTGCTGCTGCTGCGATTATTAAGTGCTGGTGCTGCCTTCGTCTGTGCTGCTGCTGCTGCTGCTGCATGCGGCCTTTGCTGCTGCTGCTGCTGCTGTCGCTTTGCTGATGCGGCGCTGGCCAGCAGCAACTGCTCCTGCTGCAGCACCTGCTGCTGCAGCTGCTGCTGCAGCTGCTGCTGCAGCTGCTCCAGCACCGGCAGCTCGCTGCTGCTGAGGCCTACTTCCACAGCTAGGGCAAACACCTGCTCCTCAAGAGGCAGCAGTGCTGCTGCTGCTGCTGCTGCTGCTGCTGCTGCTGCTTCGGGCGTTGCTTCTCCTGCTGCTGCATCTGTTGTTTCTTCTTCTGCAGCTGCTTCTGTTGTTGCTGCTGTTGCTGCCTCCGCTACACTTCCAGCTGAGGCTGTTGCTGCTGTTGCTGCTGCTGCTGCTGCTGTGGCTGCTGCTGCTGCTGCTGCGGCATCCAGTGAAGAATCTGCTCCGGCTGCTGCGTGCTGCTGCTGCTGCTGCTGCTGCTGCGTCTCCTGCTCAGGTGTACGTACACCAGAAGCCACCCCACAAGCAGCAGCAACTGCTGCTGTCAGAGCAGCAGCAGCAGCAGAATGTCGAGAGAGAGCAGCAGCTGAAGCTTTCAGCAGCTGCAGCAAAGCAGCAGCAAACAAGCAAGCCAATTTCAATAATGAATCTAAGAAATAAATAAGTAACAGATTAATTAATTATTTATTTATTTAATTATTATAATAAAATAATTATTTGATTAATCAACTAATCAATTAATTAATTCAATTATAATAATTAATTAATTAATTAATTGATTCCTTAATGAACTGCAAAAGGAAGCTGCAGCCAGTGCAAAGCCTAAGCCCTAAACCCTAAACCCTAAACCCTAGACCCTAAACCCTAAACCCTAAACCCTCAAAAGTAGCCTCTCACGCGCATCACTGCGACGGGAAAATTAGACGAGCAGGGTTTAGGGTTTAGGGTTTTAAGGGGCTAGGCCAGGGTTCAAAGACCAAAGCAACAGACGCGCGCAGGTCTAGGGTTTAGGGTTTAGGGTTTAGGGTTTAGGGTTTGTTGCCTGTTTTTGCGACTGCAGGTTTTGCTTGAGGCTTTCTCGCTTCGAAACTGTCGAGGGAGTTGAACTGCAAAAGATGAAAAGGCAGAAAATAAAAATAAATAAAAGTTAATTAAAATAAATAATAAACAAACAAACAAATAAACAAATAAATAAATAAATAAATAAATAAATAAATAAATAAATAAATAAATAAATAAATAAACAATCAAATCGCTTAAAGTTAAGTGCAATGAGGGAAATAATAAAATAAATAAATAAATAAAAATAAAAATGAAAAAAAAGAAAAGTGAAATAAGTCTTACTTCTGCTGCTGGGGTGTATGTACAGCTCGGAGGAAAGTGGCGAGCGCCAAATCTTTTTTAATTTCATTTAATTTTTTTTGAATTAATTCATTTGTTTCATTTGTTGCTTGAAGAGCAGCAGCCTGCGTTTGCTGCTGCTGCTGCAGCCGCTGCTTCTGCTGCTGCAGCTGCTGCAGCACTGCTGCTGCTGCTTCTGCTGCCAAGGCGAACTGCAGCAGCAAATTGGCCTCCGGCGGATTCAGCATTAAATGAAATTTGTTTTAAAATGTTTTAAAAGAATATAAACAGAAGCAAATCAAGAAAAGAAAAAGATGAAAAGAAAAGAATAAAATTAAAACAAATAAACAAAAAGAGAAAAAGAAAAACAAAGGCGCAGCAGCAAAAACAAACTGCAGCAAATAACCCAAAGACAGCAGCAGCAGCAGCAGCAGCAGCAGCAGCAGCAGCAGCAGCA